CTCTGATACCCCCAAAGCCAAGTGTTTCTGAGGGATACCAATTACCAGAAAACTATAACCAAAACACTATGGAGACAAACAGGATCATTAATTTGATTTCTTAATAAAACAGCCTCTGTTCGAGCCATATCCCATCACTCTGGGGTCTGAAGCAGCAGGATATCTATGAGTTGAGGACAGCTTCTGCTGTATAAGTTCAAGGCCTGCCTTAGTTACAGAGGAGGACACAGTCTCAAAACAAAATGCCTTTATTTGTATGTCCTTGAACATGAATCTAAAATCATCTTGAAGGATACAACAGGCAGATGTATATGTCAAAGGAGGGAGGGACTCATCCTGAGAGTGCCTGGCATGCCTGTAACCATAGTGACCACATTCTCAGAAACAAAATACAATCACAGTAGGCAAACAAAACATGATATTATACAATATTATGTACATGTGAATTATGGCCTGAACAAAATATGAAACACAAATGTTTATTTAATGTTATGTTATTTACTTTTCTCTAAAATACATGTCATAATATAAACAAAATAACACTAAGAGTAGTTAACAGTGTTGGTATAGTAAATAACCATGAAAACAACTAGCCAAATAATGCGTGCAATTAGGCTATTACCACATTCAATACTTTTTGCTATTCTTGAATGTAACAACTTAATTAAAAAAAAATTATGCTGAGAGCTGGAGAGATGGCTCAGAGGTTAAGAGCACTGACTGCTCTTCCAAAGGTTCTGAGTTCAATTCCCAGCAACCACATGGTGGCTCACAGCCATCTGTAATGAAATCTGGCGCCCTCTTCTGGCCGGCAGGGATATGTGCAGACAGAACACTATGCATAATAAATAAATCTTAAAAAAAAAAAAAAAAACTATGCTGAGTGTATAAGTGTATAGGTTGCATATGCAATATATTCTTATGAGTCATAGGTGTAAGAATCATAGAATGGAAAAGACTTGATTTGGATGATTTTATCAGCACATAAAAATTAAAGAAAAAAACAGTGCTCCTTTGCCTCTGCTTCTTTTGGCAGTTTCCCATCTCGGATGTGGCCTTTAGGGTGATCCCTCTTCTTTGTGAACATTCTGAATGCATCTGAACTCAATTTTTCTTCAGCTTATGGTTCTGGGCCTCCACCCCAGGGACACTGTGATGATGCCAAGCTGAACAAGCTCCCAGCAAAGGTGCCGATGCATGACGTAGCTGGAACTTGGTGGGTGGCATCAGTAAAGTTCTACCTCACCAGATTGGTCTTCCTGTACTGCACACATCTGTCCATTTGTGTCCCCTGGCTTGAGCTGATGAGCAGCTGTTTGTCAACCTGGCCCTTTGATTCTACAAATCCATCATACTACCCACACATTTCTAAAATGTTGGACAGTTTCAAGTATTCCAGAACACTGGGAAGCTTGATAATTTAAACCAGGCTTTCTCCAGAAAAAAAATGTATTTAAAGCCTTGGTTTAATTTGAACTTGTGAAATCAACTTGATTCCTAAATAAGTTACATGTTTAATGTAGACGTTAAGGTTACTCTATTCATCCCTTTCCAGAAATATTCTTGGTTTTCAGCCCTGAATCTATTAAAATAAAACAAGTGTGCCCCATTGACTATGAGTTCTCACTAGAGCCTCTTATAACATTGAGCCACTCACATGTATCAACTACATCTGGCCTCTTCAGTGGTCATCCATCAGCTACAGAGCAGACTCATGTAGGCGTCTTCCCCATTACTAACATCCTCTCCATTCCACATCTTCCTCACTACTAACATCCTCTCCATTCCATGTCTTCCTCACTGCTAACATCTTCTCCATTCCATGTCTTCCTCACTACCACCACCCTCTCCATTCCATGTCTTCCTCACTACTAACACCCTCCCCATTTCCATGCTCAATAGAGAAGCAGATGAGTCCAGGACACTTTTCTTGTCCCACATCTGAAAGAATAAACTTTTAGCAAGGTAGTGCTTCAGCCTTCTCTCCAGGACTTCTCCATGTTCTGAAGAAGCTGAATGTTAAGTGAATTTTTTCACTATGAAAGCCTCAGCATCATAGGGAAGCAAACAGAACCTCCGCATAGGGAGCACTGGTACAGCATTTAAAACCTTGGGAAGACTTGATCATCTCAATAGACATTGTCAACATCTATATTGGCACTTTCTGCTAAAAAGATATGTAGATGATCTGAGTCTAATTGCAGTGGACACAGTGTAAATAATCAACAATTTTAAGTGTATATTTTTGTGGTTTTATAAGAAGATGGAGACGGAGCTCAAAAGTCTACATTCCCAACTGAGGAGCTGTTGAGGATAGCCATGAGGGGAGAAAGAGTCATTTATTTTGGGGCTGTGCACTCTGCTGGGGTGTCTGTGCTCCTATGGACGGTCCTACACCAATGCATGTATGGGAAACTAATGGGATTTAATGGGCTAATTTTTAAAAAGGACCTGAAGTTGGAAGGGAAACATATTGAGGTGGATTTGAAGGGAGCTGGAAGGTGAACTTGGGATTATTTATTCATATTTCATTGCATTATAATTCTCAAAGAATAAATTCTAAAATATCATTAACTTCTTAAAGCATCTCCATAAGAAATCAAGCTGATAGTTCAAACCTTCATTTTCTGAATCAAAGTGAATACCTAAGAAGTAGGAAAGGCTTTTCTGACCATTTTGTTGGCGGTGGTGGTGCGATACATGAGTGGATACATCCTTACAAAGAAGAAGAAGAAGCCCAACTGTTCATGGAATCTCACAGAATCAGGTCACCCCAAGAATAGACAGGACAGCCATCTTCAAAATTCTCTTTTGTGTTCACTATCAACCTCCTCCAGTTTAGGAAACTTTACTTCATTTCATTGAACAATCAGGATCGGGATCTTTTTTTTTTTTTTTTTTTTTTTGGTTTTTCGAGACAGGGTTTCTCTGTGTAGCTTTGCGCCTTTCCTGGAGCTCACTTGGTAGCCCAGGCTGGCCTCAAACTCACAGAGATCCGCCTGGCTCTGCCTCCCAAGTGCTGGAATTAAAGGCGTGCGCCACCACCGCCCGGCTAGAACAATCAGGATCTTGAGAGATATATCTATTCGTATCTTGATATGAACAAACAAATTTAGCCTCTTGTTTAGAAGAGACAGGTTTTTGGCTTGATTTGGAGGTTGTTTTCTGTCTTAGACTGCATATGTGATACTCGGTCATATCCATTTTTCCATACTCCCAAACCTAAAATGTCTCCATACATGGTGCAATCTGGTCTGCATTGACACTGACCTCTTTATTCCACTGAGTTTCATATCCTTCCATCTGCCATTGGCACAGGGATGTCACCTTTTTTAGTGCCTGGGTTGTGCTAATGAGGCACACTCATAATGGTTTTCACTGCCGGAATTCTTCATAATGTCCTTCATTAGAAATTGAATTGATACCATCTCTATATCCACAGTGGACAGCCCAGAGGCAAAGTAGAACAATCATTAGAATTCAAGATTGTGAAGTAGCTAAGTCTCTCCCATTGGAGTACAGTGACAAGATGGACCAAGCGAAGAGGTCAGCATTGGGTTGGCAAGAAAAATGGTCCCAGCAGCTAAGAAAAGGAGAGAATCCCTGAAGCCAAGATCACAATGTTCTTGCTTTATGGTTTCTCCCTGCCCATAGTCCCCAGATGAAAGTCTAACTTCCCTGCCTTTCTCTTGCTGAAGAGTTTCCAAGAAAATGACCCTGTCCTTGGCAAAATCGGGAGGATTAGCATGGTTAGTGGGGAAGTTTATGCTTTGGGGTTGCATGGCTAATGGGTGGGAAATACCACAGTTTGAAACTCCATAACTGACCGTTGAGCTTCTTTTGAGTTTTTGCTTTCTGCTGAAGAGTAAACGCCATGAGGAATGTGAAGTGTGGGCATTACCTGTTATTATAAATGGCTTTGGCAGAGGGAGAGGCCTGAGATTCCCAGAGCTTTGAGTGTCTGTAGCATTGAGTCGGTGAGCCATCCACAACTCTAGAGGAGAAATGGAGTGTTTTCAACAGAGCTCCATCTCAAAATGCTGCCGAGGATTTCATCTTGCCTGAGGAGTCTTAATGCCTTCTGGGTGTGTCCATTGGGGGTATCACACTCACTTTGTTTATGAGGAAAATATGAGCATAAAGATCAGGATGTGTGAGTTCTAGAACAGGAGCAGCATGCCTTAAAATTGGCAATGAGGTTCTGAAATCCCTTAACTGGAAGACTGAAGGCAAATTCTTGACAGAGGTGACTAGCACACATCAACTTCAAAATGAGACTGGCTTTGTATCCTCATACGGCTCCAGGCTATTGTGGAGAGGAAGGTATTATTCCCAGGACCGAGCAGTGAGTATGGAAAACATGGCTGCTACAAGGACTGCAGAGAAGGGTGTGGTATTGTGATGAGGGAAACTGACCTGGTTGGAGAGATAAAGGAATGCTTATGAGGGAAGAACATGCAAGCTGATATCAGAAGGCAAACAGAAGAACACACCACAGCAGGTAGCAGTGTGTTCTTTCTAAGGAGCAGAGAAACGTCACACCCAGGAACTGCAGCTTTAGAGAAAGCAGGTGCAACAGAGTCTGCAGCAGAGATTGGGCCTCTGAATTTCAGCGTTCCCACATGCGTCCTTGGGTTAGGCTTCTTTTTTTTCTCTGTTAGTAAAAAAGTAGCAGTCTCTTCTTTACATCCAAGACATTTGTAATTGTAAACGTTCCACCAACCTGCCTGGCACAGGGTCCATCTTCGGTTAACTGTCCAAATAGGGCACATTTGCTTGAGCCAGGACGACTTCCATTTGCTTAGCAGTGACAAGAGGTACGTGGCCATTCAGTATGAATGGTTTTCGTTATGTACCACATTCTCTTCTTTTAAATCAGTATTTCTAACCATTGGGTTCTAAATCATAGCAACTTCTCGAACTGTAGTTACTAAGTCAAAGATAAATAAGCTCTAGTGTGGTGGTATAACGAGATCATTAGACCTGCTTACAAGAAACCACATTTGGCTAAACATACCCGCTCCTCTAGGCTCTGGCTTCCTCTAGAGTCTTAGTTTGTTTTTAACATGTCCTTCTGCCCAGGCCCCCAGAACACTTACCTTTCTACATTTTGACTCAGGCCTCCTTCTGCTGCAATCAATATCTCAGATATGTGATGTCTGTGAAGGTAAAATAAAGGCACCAGCTTCTTTTAGGGGATGCATTCCCCATCATGAGCCGTCCTGCACTGGGACTTTGCATCACATAGCACCCCACTGTGGTGGTGTACCGCCCAGGAGCCTTCTGCCTGCCCATCAAAGCCTGTGTGAAGTGGGGAGACTCAAAGTACATTTTACTGGAGATGACTTCTTTCTGGAGTTATCTTCCTGCTCTAATTTCTTCCTGAACAACTACTCGTCTGACCCATGTCTTGCCATTTTCTGCCATGTCTTACAGCACCTAGCCTCAGCTTAGGAAAACCTCTTGACCACTATGAATTTCCTTGTTCATAAAATAAAAGTGACGTCTTTAGGGGCATATGAAGACTGTAACAGAAGGCTAAAGCTGTAAAGCCATAGCAGTAACTTTGAGGGCGCAATCAACAAGCTTCAAGGTTATACAGTGGTGGATGGCCCACTATTACATAAAATCCCAGTGATAAATTCTCATTCAGTTGCACTTGTTCTCAGTAACAGATTGTTCTGCTTTTCATAATTATTCCACATATTAATATCACTGTGAAGTCATTACAACAGCTGTCTCTTTTTTGGTCACAGGTGTTTTACCCTCAAAGAAAATGAAATTGCATATACTTTCTTTCTGAATTTTGATTGGACCAGTTTTTAATCCAAAGAACCATGGGGCTATCTATTGTTGCCTGTTTGAGATGGCCATCCATCTGCAGAGTCCTCTCTGTTGATCTGTTTGAGTGTAGTTTATTCCTTGTTCTAAAAACACCCAATTCACAGAGAGCAATGGGCTGCTACAGAAGTAGGGAGAAGGGTTTCCCACTAGGCAATCTCTGTGTGGTCCTGAGTAGGGAAAGGAAACAGTGGAAATCCTAGGGTCCTGGACAGAATACGGATAAGCAGCTGGAGGTTCAGGGAAGGCATCTTCAGGGAGGGTCTCACAGACAGAGAGACAGGAGGAGGAGGTACCTGGGAAGGCTTTGCAGAGCCGTGGTGGCAAGAGCAGACAGGTGAGCATTATCATACACGTTTTGTGCCATCAACTTTCTGTGTCAGAAGAAAAGGTAAAGAGAGAGCTATTAAAATAAAAGGGCAAAAGCATTGGAAGCCTAGTAATGCTAGTAATGTCCTCCCTGGTGTCTCTCAACATGGTGTTGACAATAATCATATAATAAAAATAATAATAATTAATAGTGGGAGTGCCATTTAAAATCCGTGTCCTTACCACTCCATTACTTTGACTTGTTTTTTATTTTTACAACTTTTTCTCTTCTTTATCCTTTCTGCAGGAATCTCTTACCCCTCATCTCTTCTCATGGTTATTAAACTACTGTGGCATGCTCTAAAAGGAGAGGATATTATAGAGGGCAGGAGCAGGTGGGAATGTGGGGTTACAGGCCACTGAATATGGGGTGCACTAGAGATGGGTTTGGGTTTGGGAAGAGGCTCTTGATGGGGTTATTTTGTCTCCTCTCTCTGCTTTTTCTTTCTGCTTTGGCCACTATCCTTATGATGCGAGCAGGGGCAGAAAGGGCTGCCTACACTCTCAGGCTCCTTGGGAACTAGAGTACGGTCCCTGATACTCCCTTTCCTACCCACGACGTTGTCTTCCTCTCTTCAGTGGCTGTCTGTGGTTCCTCCAAACTATAGTCAGCATTGTCCTTGGTTCCTGAATCCCTGTCCTGTCTGTTAAAAGACTTACCCTTTGCTGTGACTGACTCCAGCCTCAGGCTCCTCCATCTGAGCGCTGGGGTAACAGGTTATGTGCTCCTGTACTTTGTCTGCCTTTTCCTTGACTCCAACACCCAGAGCCAATCTCCTGGAGGGATCTTTCACAATGCCTGGCATTTCTTTGTGACTGACAAACTCATTTGTGATCTTGACAAGGGAGCTAAAGCTATCCTCAGCATTTATAAATGCTCAGAGCTATATTTTCTGGCCTGCCCAAGAATCAGTTCGGGGTAGTCAATTCGGGGTAGTTCCTTTTTGCTTTGTCCTTTTCATTTTTGAGATGAGGTCTCATGTAGCCCATGCTAACCTCAAATTCACTATGTAGTTGAGGCTGGCCTTAAACTATTGATGCCCCTGCCTCATTTATTCAGTGATGGGGTTATAGGTGTAGCAACAACACAGTATTCTTTTCCTTCTTGTTAGAGCAGGCATCTCCAGCTCCATCCACTGGTTTTCGGACTCTTAAGGAGTTCCTGATTGGCCTGTGTGTGGCCTCTTGTTAGAGCAGGCATCTCCAGCTCCATCCACTGGTTTTCAGACTCCTAAGGAGTTCCTGATTGGCCTGTGTGGTGGGAGTCAGGCTGCTTGTCTGAGTTTGGAACAGAAGGCATATGGCTTTATTCTGCAAAAGCATAGTAATTCCTTTTCGAAACACTGGCTTGGCTCATGGGCTCCTAGAACCCTTCTGTCTAGTGGACAATGACAGGGTCATCTTCAGAGTACTCAGGGGCTGCATCCATCCCATTGAGCATTTTCCACAGCCTTACCAGAACATTATGTTATTTTTTGACCACTTGCTCTGATGTGTTCCTGCATAATAAAGTGGAGGGTTGTACCTCATATGAGCCATGGCTATTAATTTGTCCCTCTCAATAAATTCAGACTAGAAAGGGGTGGAATGAATCAGCACCGATTGCTCTCATGGTGCTCTACCTATAGGGTCCTACCAGGCCTTGGCAGCTCTTCCAGATTTTATTGTGACAGTAACACTTCCTCCAACTGGATCAGAACATACCTCAAAAACAGGTGCTTCTCACCACATTATTCCCAGGCCCAGCCTGGATACTGAGATAATAAAAATAGGAAGAGTTGGGGCATGGCTTAACAATAACAACAACAACTAATAGTAATAATAATATGCCATTTCTTTATAGATTCCTGGGATCTTGTTTGACCTGCTCTCCTCTACTATTGATGATTCTTCTGATGATCTTTTCCCTAAAAAATCTTCTCTACATCCTTAATCTTTAATATGTTGTGTAACTATTTAAACCCCTGCACACACACACACACACACACACACACACACACACACACACACCAAGAAACAAAGCTTTCTTTTCTGTTTACCAGCTTGTAATTACTAGGTGAGCATGATAATTAGTCATCTTGGTCCTGAAGAGAGCTTGCTGTGTCCTGTCAGTACAGCAGATGTGATGCATTGGGCAGATGGTTACCCTGGCTGTAAGAAGCCTCCTCATGATGGGCAGGTGTTAGGAACACTTAGCTTGGTGCTTAGCACTGAGCTACTACATGGTAGGGCACACTGGAGTATGTATATGGAACTCACTATATTTTTTTAGGTCAAGGTGTAGAAGAAATAGAGACACATAGGACAGACTAGTTTACAAATTCATGGAAATTTTTCGTGAGTTGAGGTTTATGGGATCTTAAAGTAGAGTCTTTGCTGGTCCAGGGATCTGTCAAGGTTACTCAAAGGTATAAGTATCTTAGAACTGATTAACAGAAGTGAGCAGGCTATTCACATGTACACAGTCTCTCCATTCCTCAAAGGTGGGACAGTGTAGGGGAAATTATGCGTGTGTGAAAAACCATATGAACAAATACTCTATACAAAAAGGATGTCAGATTTTAAGCAGGTCCATCTTTTTTCTTTTAGATTTGTAAAATATTATCTGTGAATGAGATTTTCACCTATGTTTATGTACCATGTAGATGCCTGTTGCCTATAGAGGTCAGAGGAAGGAGTCAGATCTCCTGGAACTGGAGGTACAGATGACTCTAAAGCCACCTTGGTACCTCGAGCCAAATCTAGGTCTTCTGCAAGAGCAACGGATGTCCTTAATCACTGGATCATCTCTTCAAATCAGTAGAGCCATCTTTATGTTTGGGAGCTGCTCATTTATACACTCAAGGAACACAAGGTAGAAGCGTCTCAGCCAGCCTTTGCTTTCCACCTGTCAGTCCCTAATGCCCGTAGGATGTCTTTGTTGAGTCCACGAGTCCGTAAGAAGTGGGACTGTGCTGCCATTGAGAAAAGAGATAGGGTCCTTGTTTGAAGGGACAGGCCATCTCCCCCACACTTACTTCTTGTGTGCTGGGAATTGCTAAGCATCTTCCACCAACACTAGGACGGATGTCACTGCAGATGTCTTCTGCTTTGGGGCTGCTGGGAAATTTGAAAAGACCGACTAACGTTTACGTACTGAGCTGGCAGAGGCTGTGTCACGGGTGGCAGACAGGTGACTCATTAGGTTTTACTAATTGGCAGACACTGAGAGACAGCAAGCAGTGAGATACTACAATCCCGCTGCCAAAGGAACCTGGACACAGACAGGTAAGACCACGTGGGGTTGTCCCCAAGAGGGTAAACACTGGCCAGGAAATCCACCTCAGAGCACGGAGGCCCTGGTTGCTCACTTAGGAAATGTGCGGAAACACAGCCCTTTCCAGCCTTGGGTGAGCTAACTAGCGCTGATCAAGCTTGCCAGTCCCGTGAAGGGAAAACATAAGCGGAATTTGATATCGCATCGTGTTTCTCTGGTAAAGTACTTTGATCACTGGAAATACCCTAAAGACAAATAGTCAGCAATAGTGATCTCACTGAGAACATATCTAACTACAGATAGATTATTGCGGCTTGGAATGCCCGATTCTCTGCGGACATTCACTGCTCGAAGGTCTACGGAGTTCTAACACAGGCAATAAATACCGCCCTGCTTTCTGCTTTCCGGAAAGAAGCCGTTTCCAGAACTCGTATTGCTTAAGACTGAGCAAGTATCAGAGTATCAGAATGAAATTTGCAGCATTGGCTTGCCTCTCTGTCTTTCCCTGGCACCCACAGTGCCAAATGCAGGGTCCGTCCTGCAGGACACTGGGAAGAGCTGCCAAAGGACTGGGGCACCTAGACACATAGACACTAGACATCCTTTGGATGTTAGATGTCCCCGCAAAGACAGGGTGATAAACTTTGGTTCCTAAGGTGGTTTAGTTGGGAGGTGACATAAATGTTGACAATACCTAGTGAGAGTTCTTCGGAAGACTGGGGATGCAGGCCTTGCTTTCCTTATTTTATGAAGTCTGTTGTTGCCTAGGGATTCAGGTGAGTGGTCTTCAGGCTACGAAGCCCTCCTGTCGTGATAAGCAGCCTCATCACAGGCCCTCACATAACGGGCCCCATCGTTCATGTTTTAAGTCCTCCACCACTGAGCTGAAGCAAGCCTTTACAAGTTCTGTGGATCTGGTATTTTTGTTCTAGTGATGAAAAGCTGGCTAGCAGACTGTTCACTGATGAAGTTGACACAGGATGGTACTGAATAACCAGTGGTGAGTGAATACATGTTCCTGGAGGTTCCTGTTCAGAGCACGTAGTGTCCGGTTAGTGAGACCCTGAAGAGATCATTCCTCGGTAGAGGAAGCGAGTCACAAGGGTGTGCCTTTGGTTGGTTATACCTGACCCTGGCTTCTCACTTCTCATATGCCCTGATGTGAACAGCCTTTGACAGACACCCTGGAGGCCAAGGACTGAGCTGTTGTGCCCGCCTTGCCTGTCATGGTGGGCTGACCCCTCTGACACTGAAGGACAAATAGATCTTCCCCGAGTGCTTCTGTTGTCACAGGGGTGGGGGATCACTACTGTCACTACTGTCCTCACTATTGGAGTTCTGGCTGCTTTTCTAATAACCAGGATGAAAAGGGGTGGTGGGGTGGTGGGGTGAGGAGTAGGCGGTCCCTCCATAGCACCTGCTCTTTTTTTATTTCTATCATTCTCTGTAGAGTCTCAAACTGTGAAAGAGCAATTTAAGTTTCTATACGTGATGGGTTCTACTTGAAAGCATGTCTATTTCCTAAAGTCATTTTCAAGAGTGAAATATTCCCCATTTGTTTACTACTGGACTCTGAACAAAGCAAAATTTAATTGCATGAAATTGTGAAAAAAAGTAATAATAGTACCCATTTCTAAGAGTTTCTATGAAAATTTTATTATCTCATTATGTATTATATATATATTATATATATTCTTAAATTAGGATTTTTTTACTTCTAAAGGTTTTCAGCTTTGCCATTCACATAACTTATTTATACTTACATGATTGCTGGGATTTTACAGTCCTTACAGTGGTTTTAATGCTGCAGAGTTAAAAGGTCACAGGTCACAGTGTAAAGTGGAGACTCCTATTCCTTTCTATAAAGATCCATATTGAATCCTAGCACTATCTAGGCATAATGCTTGGCCAGGCAAAGAGACAGCCTTAGAGGAGGTGGCTCTCAACTGCAATTCATCAAAGACCTAGAATCAGGTCTGCTAAGTGTTACCAGGTTTGCCAGGCTCCCGGAGGGTGTTTAGTACAGAAGTCTGGCCCCTGCAGCTGGGTAAAACTGTCCTGGGGCTGAAGTCTCTGATCTGAGACAAAGAACATGACGTAGCATTTAGTGGAAAGAAGATTGTCATACAGATGCACACATTTTTTTTTAATGGTACTAGGAATTGAACCTCGGACTTTATACATGCTAGGGACCTGCTCAGTTGTACTTAACACTTAGCTGTAGCTCAAGCTGTCCTCAGTCCTGCAACCCTCCTATCTCAGTCTCCTGAAAAGATGGAATTGCAGGTCTGAACCAATAGACCTGACCAATTATCTCATAGTTTGGCATTATTATTTATAGCGAACTTTGCAGTATGGCTTCTTTGGGACTGTTCCTTCTTGTCCTTAGCTGTCAAAGCCCTCTAGTTTTTCTTGAACATGTGACCTCCAACCATTTCCCATGCTCATGTGGGGAAAATACTCCTCTGCTCTCCTAGAACAAGCATTCAAGGTCATTTTCTATGATTATGCGGGCCATGCACTGAATGTGCCGTTTTTATTAATTGCACCTCTTAGAAGCGTGGGGCATTTCTGACAGGTCCTGTGACATGCACCTGCATCCAGTGCACTTTCTTTTCCTCCTGCCCTTTATCTTCCTCAAATGTCCCCCACACTGTCCCTGGGCTGTTATTTTTTATACTGTACACATAGAAGTATATTATAAAAATTTTCTTACTGAAGTTTGACACCCTCATTAACTACATTGGCCAGAGTTCTCCAGAGGGGCATGATCAGCAAGTAAATTGCCTCATACAGCTGTGGGGACATCAGGTCCACACTCTGAGGCTTAAGTTCAGCTAGCTGGAGACTCGGAAAAACAAGTCCGAAGGTCACATGGAGAAAGAATTCCTTCTTTGTCAAGGGAGGTTGGTCTACTCCTCACAAAGCCATCAACAGATCTGAGAGGGATTTCCATGCTGTGGTAGGTTATTCACTTTACCCAAAGTGCGTGACTTGGGTTTTTAATCACAGTGCATTGTAGATTAGTATCTGATCAAATATCTTTTACCATGGCTTAACCACATGGACATATAGGACTAACCATGGCACTGAGGTAATCAGTTTCATGCAGATAGCAGAAGGCAGCACTGGGACTTGTTTGGATGATGCGTCAGCATCTCTACCCTCTCCCAGGATCCTTACATTGGTTGCTACGCCATCCTTAGGTAAGAATGCCTCAAATCCATACAGTGAAGGAACCCTGGAACTCACCTCAAGACACCCTGTTCCCTGGTGGCCCTTCAGATACCACCTTCTCTGGAAGTGTTGTCAGCACTTAATCAGATGGACCAGGTCTGGTCTTTGAGCGCCCCCCGCCCCCAGCAAGGCCCACTCCTGTCCCCCTTGGAATCTCACTCTCCTGAGCCTGGACTGAAGGATGCACAGCACAGAAGAACCATCTCCTGTCCTTCCAGGGCAGAGCCTTTCACTCACTAGACCTTCAGGGCTGTGGTTCCATGCTGAATCACAAGGCCAGTCCAGAGTCAACTCTGTTTACTTCATAATAGCACACTGACATAAGGGCGTACACAGCACTGGGTTTCCTTGCTTGTTACACTAGACTTCAGAAGGACTGTAAGAGTGAAGGATGGGCAGTTGGATCTCCTGAAATGTGCACTGGTGACCTAGAATGACTCAAAGCATTTCAATGTGTCACATTTGTCAGACACTTTCAGACTGGTCAGTTTTCAGTCTCACGAGAAAGTCTCAAGATGTTGAATCCTTAATGACCTTCTCTGGGTCTCCATGATAGCCTATTCTGGGAGTCCCTCAATGATGCTAAGAAAGGCTTAGCAGTCAATTTAGTGGTAATGGGTTTGTCAGACTATGTTAATGTAAATTCACAAACCACAAAGTATTCAGCCTCAAAGTGCAGGTGGTCCCTGCAACCTCCTCAGGTGGCCAGGAGGACTAAGGCCTTCCAAGTCTTCAGCTTCCTTGGTTATGTATACTGTGGTTACAGCATCAGATGATCCAAGCTTTCTTAGTTTTATGTTTTCTTTGGAATATCTTTTTTTTTTTAGCAGACTATAGTCTGTTATTATTATATCTGGTTACTTATATATATAAAATATCTGGTTAATATTACTATAGTATTAACCAAAGGGTATAAAAAAGCTTTCATGAGTTTAAAATTAGACATTCTATGGGAATAGCTATAAATACTTACTGAACTTTAGACATCAAAACTTTAGTAACCGCCTGACCTCATCCTCATGTTATCCATACTTGTATTCCTTAAAATTTCTCTTTGGTCTTTTAGTATGAATATATTGCAAACTCAACCCATCCACACAATGCAGTACTTTAGAATTTTACTGAGTCAATATACTGTGAGACAGATACATTAGGAAGATTTAGCTGATAAGTGATTTATTAAAATGATTCACTTAATGATAAGTTAAGGCACCAGAGAGGCATCTAAGTGTTTTGACTGTGCCAGTGTGCCTTGGTTCAAACCTCAGCTTACCTACTCTTTAGCTGTGTAGCTCTGCTCCCCTCAGTCAATTTTGCCTGACCTCTGGTCTCACACATATAATAGCTTCACCAATAGCAAGAATAGTGCTAAAAACGTGAGTATTTCATAATCCCACTTGCCTTCAAACTATTCATTTTCAGTATTCAGGTGATGAGAAAATCATCCCCTCCATGGATGAGAGGTTTGTTTGTTTATTGATTGAAACTGAATTCCTTGAAACAAAGTTTCTTCATATTCCATAATCACTCCTGAGGTTACCAAGTGACGCATCTTCCGATGGGTCTTGTACTCATGGGCAGCACTCTTAATGTGAGACCAAAGGGAGTGGAAAGCATGTGTGAGGTTTTGAAGAATGGCTTGCCTATCCTGTAGTATTCGCTGCTTCCTGAGTTCTTTAAATACAGACTACCCCAACCTCAGGGAACGTTTCATGGAATTTGGTCCAATATATCTACCACATTTCGTGAGTCCAGACATTTTTTTTTCTACCCTGGGCTGAAGCCTTGGGAGCACACAGCCTGGAAGGCTGTTTCTTACTGATGCCTACAGTAGGAAAAGACGTGTTAGCTTTGCTGTTTTTCAGTTCCTGCTGTTTCTGGAGCAGATTCCGTTGATAATTCCATTTAATACTTGAACTTAGGATAGACAACAACTGCTTGTGGCTCCTAATTATCAAAAAGCAAACAGATACCATTCAGGAGGTAGACACTTAGAGAGTGTGTGACAATGGCCAGTGTCTCTCAAAGAGTTAGTGCTGGGAAGGCGCAGCTTGAGAAGAGTTCTCTGGTAGACAACCAAGGATGAAAATTACATGAAACCAAAGGAGATGCTTTTGATGTTCCTATTTTACTGGGGGGGGGGGTTGTGAGTGTGGTAGTGGAAAGAGATTATGAGGCAGACTTTTTGGCTATAACACCAGACATGTTTATCCACGAAAGCCTGGTTTAGATCCTGCATCTGATGTCTGGAGTCTTCAGTACACTACCCAGGATGCTTCAAAAATCAGGGGCCCAAGTGGGAAGGAAGGGGATGTGGGGGAGCTGAGGTGACTATTCCTCACTTGATTTGAGACTGGTTTAGATGAGCCTTTTAAAGCCAAGGACTGGCAGGGGAACCATGCCTTTGACACCTGTAACTCATTTGAATTAAAAAGTGACTTTGATGTGAAGAAAGGCTAATCCCCTGCTTTGCCAGTAGCTCTGTGGGATGAGGTTCTGAAGACCCCTCTAAACTTAACTTAGATGAGAAGGATCAGAAACCGTTTTATCTTAGGACTGGGGCTGATCATGCTGTTTTTTGAAAGATTCCATATGTCTTGCAAACAGGTACTTTTAATATTTAGTGTAGTTGTATGATGAACCTACACTTCAGTGACTTGTTTTGCTAAGTTGGAGGAATCTAAACTTTTAGCAGAAACATAAAGAGGCTGATTTTGTTTATTTGCCCCAGGTAAGCAAAAGAGCTGTGAAATAAAAATATTGTGCAATAAATACATAAGTTAGAGTGTAATGAAAAGAAGATAGAGAACAGAGTGTTTTCAGTACATGTTAGAAAAACAAAGTCAGTCAGAGGGTTGTATCAGCTCACACCTGTAATCCCAACTTCCAGGAATTTGAGGCAGGACAGTTGCCATGATTGGAGGCCTCCTTGGGCTACATAGTGAGTTCCAGGCCAGTATGGGCTAGGAGTGAGGTCTTCTCTCAAGTACCTCCTACCCCTAAAAAGACCTCTGTGACTTCCTCTTCCAGTGACCTTAGCAAGCTCTGCTTTCCCCTTCCTGTCTTAGTTGGTGTTTTAGCATCTGTATTTTGAAATTGAAATGAGTGTTTTGTGAATGTTAAATATATGAAAAGAAAGAACACTGCCTGGCACCTACTAAGTATTCACTAAACAGTGGGATAGCAACCTCTTGACCTCATATGCCCTTTTCCTGGCTTGATGCATTGAGCAGTCTTGGTAAACAATTTTATTTAAAGCGTGTTTTGTATAATTTGAAATATGGGCATAGGCAATCTGCACTGTGCAGTAAAGATCATATTTATGGATCTCTACATGAAAGCATGAGTTTTGCAGATAGTGTTTGTATTCGTTCAAAATACAGTTTTCATGCGAGAAAATGCAGTTTATCTGCAGGCTCCATGAAAGAGCATGACACAGCAAAACTTGCACCAGCTGAAAGGAAACAGCGGGGTGACTAGATTCAACACTGCAGAAGGGAAAGAGGCCAGAACCCAGCAGGAATTCACCCCTGCCCAGCAGGGCCGGAGAGCGCAGAGCTGGGTGCAAGGCTCAGGAAAGGAGCAGGGACTATTCTCAGACAGGAAGGGACACTTTCCCTGCATGGAAGGCACTTGAGGAACTGGGGCCAGGTCATCATGAGATCCGACCTTTGCTTTCTCAGAGGGGCTGTGAGGCCCCCAGCCCGCCAATCTTTGTGGAAGGTTGACTAGACAGAGTGATGAGCCCCAGGGACTTCTGGAAAAATACTTGTAAAACTGTCAAGAGGCTAGGAAAGGGGCTTCCTCTCAAGGGGGTGGGGTGGGGTGCGGGAAGCTGACAGAGTGATGCAAGCTGTGATATCAGCACTAGGGAGTATTGAGGCCGGCTCGGACCACATGCTGAGTTCAAGTCCAGTCTGGGTTATACAGACTTTGTAGAGATATTATTGCAGGATAAAGAAAGAATTTACAGTTCACCTCAGTTAAACACTCCAAGAAAAGGAAGCTGGAGCATGAAGTCAAAGGTAGCCTTTTCCTAATCCAACCCCCTGGAGGAAAGCATGGTGGTTGGTCAAACAAACACCAGGAGGAGTGGTGTCTTCTCAGGTAAAGCTTGTTTATCATCAATGCTGGCACAGCCCAGGACGAATCCCAAGGTCACTGTCAGGAGAAGATGCCAAAGGTGTATTTTTATGTATTTCCAGGACAGGAATCAAGTGACATAAGCTGAGTCTTGCCCTCAGGGATCAGAGCATGTTCTAGTTTCCCATGTAGAGGATTGGTGAGTCCAGAGCAGAAAGATCTAGAAGTATTGGCATGGGGCATCCACTTGATAAGCAAGCAGCTTCCTATGATGGGCTTCTGAGGACAGTCCTGCAGTTTAGGAGTGTTCCTGAAGCAAACTCTAATGTTGTTGATTGATTTCCAGTCATATCTTCTTGGGTAGCACAGGGAAAAGGTGTAATTTTGAAAGGCCTTGGCAGTTGGTCTTGGTTATACCATGAGGTGTCGTGGGGTTTCCACTTAAAAGGTTTAGCTGAGCATTCAAGCATGCATATGCTTCTTTTAGAAAATAGAGGGGGAAATATTAGAAAATAGTGAAATGGCTTCCATTTCACTAGCACACCTTTCTGACTTGGTTTCCCTGACAACTAAGGCCATCAGTGGCACCACATGATCATGCTAAGGCCACATTAAAATGATTTTTGTTCAAAAGGAATTACTGTCCATTTAGATGCTCCAGCTACAATCTGAATTGTTTGTTGATTTATAAATTAATTGACCCCTGGGTTCCCACACATCTCTTCACTCACCAGAGGAACACTTGTACTAATTGGCTCAGCAGAGGGTCGCTGTAGTTGTCTCGGCTGCCCGAGAAGTGTGCTAGGTGATTCCCTTGAGTGCTCTGAGAGTAAGCCTGCAGTGATAACACGATGGTGCTGAATTCAGACATCCCCGGCTCCTGATGTTTGAAGCAGAGAATGAGCTAAATGACGAGCTGGTCTGTGCTCTCTTCCCTGCTTTTAGAAAGATTCTTCTAAATGTCGTTGGTGGCTTGGTACCCATCCAATGTCAAATGTGCTACTGTAGAGTTCTTAAATGATCTACTTACTGACAACGTGTTAAAACTTATCAGATTTATGTAATAACGCTGCTGTATTTGCAGGCAGAATGTACATGTGTGGGTATGAATTTAA